TCCTATTTTTTCTTGATTTTATAAATAAAATAGGAGTGGTATAAATTATCAAAGATGTTGGATCTTCATTTTCCTTTAAAATGAAAGTTGCTATGAAGCCCCTCTCCTTACAATCAAGTGGATGAACGCCCCTACTACTTACTTTGTTGGAAGGAATTCAATCACTACTAATTGATATCTTTATTTATGCATCAATGACGATAGATGCATTCGCTATAGTTTTAGCATTACGGCAAACCCGTGTCGTAGTAAATTTGTCATGTTGTACATCTTTGCCTTTATGATTTTTTATTAAAAGAGAAAAATTGAATGGTTTTTTTGGATATATTAATCATTCATCATAAAATTTAAAAAGAAAGTACTATGTACTCTTTTTGGGAATTAGTTGGATTGTATGGATATAAAAATATCTTGGTTTGAACATTCTTTATTAGAGGGTAGTTCTTTTTCGATTTTATCCTTTTAAGATAAATAATAATTAAAAAAAGTGGTATCAGGGCCAAGATCATGGGTTCGATTCCCAAGAGCAACATTCTGCATGAGGTAGGTGTTAGGAGGGGGATTGTTAGGTAATGCCAACATCCTGCCTATGGCAAAGCCCATGAGGGGTTGGAGTGGCCCGGATCGGAGTCATGATCGAACATGACACTTGATTAGTGGACTTAGTTAAGAAATAAAATTGCGTCTTTACTATAAGCTATAGCTTTTGACGTGATGGTAAGCGTATGATCCTAACACTATAAGTATTTTGTGACTTTTACTAACTATGAAGATATTTGTTTATTGCTCCATAAGTTTGAACCGACAGAAGTCTTATAAAGATGTCCAATAGAAAGACTTAACGTTTCACATTAATGATTGGGTGTTCTGAAAGTTTTGCCTATTAAATGTGTCTTGTGCTTCGAAAACAAAGGTAAGATGAGCCCTAATACATTAATTCCTACAAAACTACACGAAGAATGGCTAGGTGGCCTATAAGGTAGATTTTCCTTTAGAATTAGTTATAGTGTGCTCGGTATTTTACATATATATTACTTAAATGTGTAAGGGGTCATTCACTTGTTTTTCGTACAAAGAGCATTGAATGCACTAAGGACTTATCATTTGAAAAAGTTTCAATGGTCGTACTAGACCGTCAGGTCCTTAAGTTGAGAATGTAAAATGTAGTCCTATCAAAATACCATGGCTGGTTAGAATATTGAAGAAGTCATTCGGAAAGTTGAGAGTGATATGAAAGGAAAATACTCGCACTTGTAATCACTTGTCTCTTTCATATGATCATGAGTTTTACTTCTACTTGTTCACTTATTCATTTGTTCACTGATTCACTCATCACTAGTTCTCTTGTCATCATATCCATCATGATCTGAGACTACCCCGTAATCGTAATACGATGCTTAGAATTATAAGTAACCCAAGCTAATTCATGATTTGACATATGTATCACAAGTCTAGTAAACTAAACATGATAATTCTAAAATGTTGAACTCAAATACATGAACTGGTGCAATGACCCAGTAGTAAACATACAACTGATAATTATTGAATTGAAATATCTAACTACAAGGTCATGCAACATATGAAACTGAACTGTGGAAAATACTATTAGCCGACATATAACCATGTGAATTGAAACATGGAGTTCAATATAAAATCCACATAGAAAAGGGGCCAATATACCTTGTTAAGATATAAAGGTTGATCTAATCTAATGTGGTATCACTAAGCTAATGTCCAAAAAGGACTAAGGTGCCAGTCCTGGTATGTTGGGTGACCCTTAAGAACCTATGGTGGCACGTAGCTTTGAGACTTAAAGATTTCTACTAAAGGTCTCATTCGACGGGTGAGCCTTCATCCCTATGTCCTCTCGGTCCTAAGTAATACTCCCACATAATTTATGCTGACAATATGATAATACTACTAATACCGAATAACTCATAAATACTAAATATCGATCAACATTGATAGACACTTTATATATCTACAAGCATCTCTAAGCATGAAGGACTGATACACTGAGTATTAAGCTAATCATGATATTTTTGCATTTTGAAAGAAACATGTAATTTAAAACAACAAAATCTGTAGGCATAAAATATCTATATTTGATGGTTTATGAAAATAATTATAAGAACACTTAATTTCAGGTAAAACATGTATTCATGGACAATTCATAAAGAGAAACTGACATATAATGTAATTCATGCTTCTCATTGGAACATGGGTTTTGTAGAATTTAATTAACAAAGAATAAGGTTTTATTTGAGACTCAATGGGTGAAAGGATACCCATTGATAAAATCCTGCATTCCTAGAATAAAAACACCCGATGAAATTCTTAAACTAAAGCTTGAAGATGAAGAACTCTAATTTTTTTGGTTGAGAAGAGTTTGATCGCACTATCTGATAATTCTAAGTGTTTGGCATAAAGGGGTGGGGGGGGGGGGGGGGGGTCG